AACACTGGTCCCAAATATTGAGCAAAAATTTCATGATTTTTTTCAAACTGTTTCGACTAAGTAATCCTCAGCCGAAGACTGTAACCCCCCCTCCTATCCTACCCCCCAGTCCAGCTGGAAATTATGAAACAATGACTTTTACAGTTCTAGAAACTCAATGACATGAAATAAATTCCTAAAAGGTCATATTGCCTCAAAGGCCTATTCTTCCTTGACATCAAGTGCAGGTGTTTTGACAGCAGGATGCCAGATGAACATGCTGGCAGGCGGCAGGATGCAGGGCATCATGCACATTGCATTAAGACTGGCACTGATTGCATTAAGATTGGCACTGTTGCCACCCTCATACCAGACCACCGCACGCACACGAGTGCATGCCCTCTCCATGGCACCTAATTGCTGCGTGACATCGCAGCTGCCGGAAATCATCTTGCATGAACAAATCCACAAGGGCCGTGCATGACGAGGGTTCGAACCTACGTCCGAGAGAATCCGAAACTCTACCTTCATCGACTGAGCTACGACATGGGTAAAAGAATTGCAACACAACAATTCATCTTGGAGAGGTCTCATACCACAAGTTAACACCGACAGAGTTCCTGGTGAACACTAGGCACAATACACCGAGAACAGGTAAAGAATATAGCTGTAGCTCTGATCTTGTTTCGCCAGGTTTACTGCTTATAATCTTAAGTGGCTGGCTTCCGGTATTCCCAGACACTCACCAGAGCGTAGGTTTTTCTCTCGACCAACACTTAAGCAGCGATTATAGGGGCCTACACAACACCTCTACAGTGACAACGGTAGACAGCAACGGGACTACCAACAAACACCTTCCCCCATTGTAAGGGTATGCGCTATAGCCCTTCATAGTTGTTATAATAAGTATAAAAACTACAGGATTATATATATATATATATATATATATATATATATATATATATATATGCAAACAAGCCTGAATGGTCCCCAGGACTATATACAACTGAACACACACACCCCAGAAGTGACTCGAACCCATACTCCCACAACTGGTATGTACAGGGACGCCTTAATCCGCTTGACCATCACGACCGGACATAAGGAAGTGATAGCCGAGGCTATATGAACCACTTCCCCGCCGGCACTCGGATGGTAATCTTGGGCATAGCATTTTATCAAATCACCTCATTCTTTGGGGCACACGTGAGGAACACAAATGCAAACAAGCCTGAATGGTCCCCAGGACTATATACAACTGAAAACTCACACCCCAGAAGTGACTCGAACCCATACTCCCACAACTGGTATGTACAGGGACGCCTTAATCCGCTTGACCATCACGACCGGACATAAGGAAGTGATAGCCGAGGCTATATGAACCACTTCCCCGCCGGCACTCGGATGGTAATCTTGGGCATAGCATTTTATCAAATCACCTCATTCTTTGGGGCACACGTGAGGAACACAAATGCAAACAAGCCTGAATGGTCCCCAGGACTATATACAACTGAAAACTCACACCCCAGAAGTGACTCGAACCCATACTCCCACAACTGGTATGTACAGGGACGCCTTAATCCGCTTGTCCGGTCGTGATGGTCAAGCGGATTAAGGCGTCCCTGTACATACCAGTTGTGGGAGTATGGGTTCGAGTCACTTCTGGGGTGTGAGTTTTCAGTTGTATATAGTCCTGGGGACCATTCAGGCTTGTTTGCATTTGTGTTCCTCACGTGTGCCCCAAAGAATGAGGTGATTTGATAAAATGCTATGCCCAAGATTACCATCCGAGTGCCGGCGGGGAAGTGGTTCATATAGCCTCGGCTATCACTTCCTTATGTCCGGTCGTGATGGTCAAGCGGATTAAGGCGTCCCTGTACATACCAGTTGTGGGAGTATGGGTTCGAGTCACTTCTGGGGTGTGAGTTTTCAGTTGTATATAGTCCTGGGGACCATTCAGGCTTGTTTGCATTTGTGTTCCTCACGTGTGCCCCAAAGAATGAGGTGATTTGATAAAATGCTATGCCCAAGATTACCATCCGAGTGCCGGCGGGGAAGTGGTTCATATAGCCTCGGCTATCACTTCCTTATGTCCGGTCGTGATGGTCAAGCGGATTAAGGCGTCCCTGTACATACCAGTTGTGGGAGTATGGGTTCGAGTCACTTCTGGGGTGTGAGTTTTCAGTTGTATATAGTCCTGGGGACCATTCAGGCTTGTTTGCATTTGTGTTCCTCACGTGTGCCCCAAAGAATGAGGTGATTTGATAAAATGCTATGCCCAAGATTACCATCCGAGTGCCGGCGGGGAAGTGGTTCATATAGCCTCGGCTATCACTTCCTTATGTCCGGTCGTGATGGTCAAGCGGATTAAGGCGTCCCTGTACATACCAGTTGTGGGAGTATGGGTTCGAGTCACTTCTGGGGTGTGAGTTTTCAGTTGTATATAGTCCTGGGGACCATTCAGGCTTGTTTGCATTTGTGTTCCTCACGTGTGCCCCAAAGAATGAGGTGATTTGATAAAATGCTATGCCCAAGATTACCATCCGAGTGCCGGCGGGGAAGTGGTTCATATAGCCTCGGCTATCACTTCCTTATGTCCGGTCGTGATGGTCAAGCGGATTAAGGCGTCCCTGTACATACCAGTTGTGGGAGTATGGGTTCGAGTCACTTCTGGGGTGTGAGTTTTCAGTTGTATATAGTCCTGGGGACCATTCAGGCTTGTTTGCATTTGTGTTCCTCACGTGTGCCCCAAAGAATGAGGTGATTTGATAAAATGCTATGCCCAAGATTACCATCCGAGTGCCGGCGGGGAAGTGGTTCATATAGCCTCGGCTATCACTTCCTTATGTCCGGTCGTGATGGTCAAGCGGATTAAGGCGTCCCTGTACATACCAGTTGTGGGAGTATGGGTTCGAGTCACTTCTGGGGTGTGAGTTTTCAGTTATATATATATATATATATATATATATATATATATATATATCAAAATCTCGTCTACTATTATAGTCTATTTTTTCCTTGATGTTCCTGAAGGTAATTGGCGTTCTATTAATTTACGGTTTGTTTAAATGATACTCGGTTCCCTCTGTTTTAATTGTGCAGGCTTCCAACCTTCCCTTGTCAACTGACAGGTATATTTAAAACATTTAAATTGTTATTTAAAGTCTGTTTAGGTCCTCTTGCATAGATCTCTTTACAATCTCATTTTAACTGAATGCCCAAGTCCCTATTTTACCGATATCGGTAAATTTAATATTTTCATTCCTGTATCTAGGTGCAAATATATATATATTTATTTATATTGTTATATATAACATATATATATATCTATACTAACAAGTCCAATACCCTGACAACATGGCTACCTGACTGTTAAAAGTCATTGGTAGCCTTAGGCTATTTCTTCCAATGACCCAACAGCAACTCTGTACTCTAGTCTGTGCTGTGAGAGTAATTACCAATGGATGAGCTAAGTCAGCATGATAACATTGAACAATACAAGTTACAACGAGGTCTCAGAGGGGCAAGTGACCACGCCCCCCTTCCCCCCCCCCCCCCAGCTTGCGACATCCTAACAATTTATCCACAAATTTGCTTGTCCATTTTAAAGAATGAAAAACAATTTTTATTTATATTACTTCTAAGCTGCATCACTTATGAACCCATCCCTGCCCTTGTGTGGCAGTGCACAGTAGAAAGTTGTTTTCACATATCCATACATTAAAACATTGATTGTAACCATGATATATATGTGCTTCAGCCTACAGTTTAGACCTATTGTCTTGTGTATGACCCTCTGTCCTGCGTGACAGTGAATACCAGCATTATCCTCACTTTAATAAGACTATCAAAATCCTCAGATTAGGCAAAATTGTAATTAATTTTGTCAATAAAGATGTTAATAATAATTCCCAGCTTTGCCTCCTTACCTGATCCAGAAGATCCCTGAGCCACTGGTGAACCAGGCCAGCCTCCACCACCCTAGCCACCACGACGTTGAACCGCGGAGTGTACACGGAGAACCGAGGCATTCCCAGACCGACCCTAATCGTTCAAGTATCATTTTAAATAACATAAAACATCATTTTTAAATAACATAATAACATAATATTGTCCCAGCTGTGTCTGGGTACAAGTGACAGGATGAACAACCCAGCGGGTTTTCTTCCTGTTGGGGAGTGTTGTACATGCTGCTATGGCGGTGTGTCCACTCACAGGATGAGTGGCGCTGCCCAATACTGTCACTATGGCGGTGTGTCCACTCACAGGATGAGTGGCGCTGCCCAATACTGTCACTATGGCGGTGTGTCCACTCACAGGATGAGTGGCGCTGCCCAATAAACTCGCCCCTCGGGGCAAAATTAAAATTAAATTATATCAAAGTAAACACACACTTTTAAAAAATATATATAAAGTATACAAATACATCAATAAATACAATATATATAAAACATAATCAGAATGATGAATTTAAATGTGATAATTAAAATTTGCTAGGAATAATATGGGACAGTTAATAGGTCGTTATTAAAACATAACAAGACAAAAATCATTTCATGTAAAATAAATGTTGTATTTCATTATTTTTAATGTGACATATATATGTATATTGAAACAATCTTATAGGGATATGTGGAATCAATCGAAACCAAACATTTTTGATAGGCTTCCAAATGTAAACATGAGGAAACATTTCACGTAACCGAGAAGCGAGATGTGCAAAAAACGCCCCTAGCCACACCTCACATCCCCAGCCACACCACACATCCCCCAGCCACACCATCTCAGGCCCCCAGCCACACCACACGCCCCCAGCCACACCTCCTCACCTGAAGGGCACGAAGCACTCCCTGGCGACGTGGAGCTTCGTCTCTCCGAAGGCGTCGGTGAAGTTGCTGGCGACAAGGTAGCGGAGGAAGGTGCCGGAGTTCATGAAGGCGAAGCTGCCGTCCAGCACCCTGGCTATATATATATATATATATATATATATATATATATATATATCAAAATCTCGTCTACTATTATAGTCTATTTTTTCCTTGATGTTCCTGAAGGTAATTGGCGTTCTATTAATTTACGGTTTGTTTAAATGATACTCGGTTCCCTCTGTTTTAATTGTGCAGGCTTCCAACCTTCCCTTGTCAACTGACAGGTGTATTTAAAACATTTCAATTGTTATTTAAAGTCTGTTTAGGTCTTCTTGCATAGATCTCTTTACAATCTCATTTTAACTGAATGCCCACGTCCCTATTTTACCGATATCGGCAAATTTAATATTTTTATTACTGTATCTAGGTGCAAATATATATATATTTATTTATATTGTTACATATAACATATATATATCTATACTAACAAGTTCAATACCCTGACAACATGGCTACCTGACTGTTAAAAGTCATTGGTAGCCTTAGGCTAATTCTTCCAATGACCCAACAGCAACTCTGTACTCTAGTCTGTGCCGTGAGAGTAATTACCAATGGATGAGCTAAGTCAGCATGATAACATTGAACAATACAAGTTACAACGAGGTCTCAGAGGGGCAAGTGACCACGCCCCCCTCCCCCCCCCCCCCCAGCTTGCGACATCCTAACAATTTATCCACAAATTTGCTTGTCCATTTTAAAGAATGAAAAACAATTTTTATTTATATTACTTCTAAGCTGCATCACTTATGAACCCATTTCTGCCCTTGTGTGGCAGTGCACAGTAGAAAGTTGTTTTCACATATCCATACATTAAAACATTGATTGTAACCATGATATATATATGTGCTTCAGCCTACAGTTTAGACCTATTGTCTTGTGTATGACCCTCTGTCCTGCGTAACAGTGAATACCAGCATTATCCTCACTTTAATAAGACTATCAAAATCCTCAGATTAGGCAAAATTGTAATTAATTTTGTCAATAAAGATGTTAATAATAATTCCCAGCTTTGCCTCCTTACCTGATCCAGAAGGTCCCGGAGCCACTGGTGAACCAGGCCAGCCTCCACCACCCTAGCCACCACGACGTTGAACCGCGGAGTGTACACGGAGAACCGAGGCATTCCCAGCCCGACCCTAATCGTTCAAGTATCATTTTAAATAACATAAATTTTAAATAACATAAAACATCATTTTTAAATAACATAATAACATTGTCCCAGCTGTGTCTGGGTACAAGTGACAGGATGAACAACCCAGCGGGTTTTCTTCCTATTGGGGAGTGTTGTACATGCTGCTATGGCAGTGTGTCCACTCACAAGATGAGTGGCGCTGCCCAATAAACTCGCCCCTCGGGGCAAAATTAAAATTAAATTATATCAAAGTAAACACACACTTTTAAAAAATATATATAAAGTATACAAATACATCAATAAATACAATATATATAAAACATAATCAGAATGATGAATTTAAATGTGATAATTAAAATTTGCTAGGAATAATTTGGGACAGTTAATAGGTCGTTATTAAAACATAACAAGACAAAAATCATTTCATGTAAAATAAATGTTGTATTTCATTATTTTTAATGTGACATATATATGTATATTGAAACAATCTTATAGGGATATGTGGAATCAATCGAAACCAAACATTTTTGATAGGCTTCCAAATGTAAACATGAGGAAACATTTCACGTAACCGAGAAGCGAGATGTGCAAAAAACGCCCCTAGCCACACCTCACATCCCCAGCCACACCACACATCCCCCAGCCACACCATCTCAGGCCCCCAGCCACACCACACGCCCCCAGCCACACCTCCTCACCTGAAGGGCACGAAGCACTCCCTGGCGACGTGGAGCTTCGTCTCTCCGAAGGCGTCGGTGAAGTTGCTGGCGACAAGGTAGCGGAGGAAGGTGCCGGAGTTCATGAAGGCGAAGCTGCCGTCCAGCACCCTGGCCACGCCTTCCTCGATCCCCTTCACGTACTGGAACCCCGCCGCCACCTTTCGCGAGATCGGGTCGATGGAACTGCTGCATGTGAGAGAGAGAGAGAGAGAGAGACAAGAGACAAGACACAGAGAGATAAGTGAGAGAGACAGAAACAGACACACACATAAACAAGCTATACCATAATCACTAAACACTAAGCAACTCGCTACACGTTCAAACTAACCAAAACACAAGGTCACTTTCATGCAATAATATAATCAATATAATACGGTATAATAGTCGTTAGGTATTCCCACACAGTATTAACGAACAACCATTACGTGTTGATGGCTGAGAAAAAGAGACAAGAAATCTCTACAAACAGTCCAACCACACCATTACAACACCGTCCACTACAACAACCACACCATTACAACACCGTCCACTACAACAACCACACCATTACAACACAGCCCACTACAACAACCAAACCATTACAACACAGCCCACTACAACAACCAAACACTCTCCTTCAACAATGGGCATTAACATCAAGCTTTCACTCACTTCCAATTAACATTCAGAATGAACTTACTGGCACTCTCTCTCCAACAGTCATCAAAGAATCAGTCTTGCATGTACAGATGTTGACGTGTTAGATCTTAATGATGTAACCAATTAGGCGTTTAATGATGTCCTAATGAAGGGTAAAACCAGCTACTCCTGGCAAGGACAGTATTACACACAGGTTATTGAGATTTAGTCTCACATGTACCAGGTAATCCACTTTCAGTGTTATACAGAATGAGTTTAAGTGAAGGAGTATTACCTGATGCTTGGACAGTGTGTGTCATTGTTCCTATCCCCAAACCACATTTAGATAATTATAGACCCATGTCTCTAACATGGTATATTTGTAAAATGGTTGAACGCATTGTCCTTAACTCATATATCGTTTACAGGGGCACATGTCACCCCAACTGTTTGGATTTATGCCTGGGCTCAGTACACAACACTGTTTTGCTGATTCTTCGCTCATACTGAAGCTTCCCCTCAAACAGTATTCGTCGATCTAGCAGCAGACTTCTGGAGTCATATTAGAGTCATACAATTATACTAGAGCAGCTTGATGAGCTATGACCACAAGGTAAGTGACTGAAATGGATAAAGGATTTTTTGTCCAATAGAAAAGCATATGTTTTGTTTAATGGTGTTAAAAGCAGAAGGTAAACAGTTTGAACTTTGAACTCCACAAGGAGAAGGAGGAGTCCTCAGGTCTTTGCAGTTCAACGTTCTGATGCATAAACTTATTAAGAGCTTCAGTAACTGAACACCACAGCTCCATGCACAGTAACTGAACACCACAGCTCCATGCACAGTAACTGAACATTACAACTCCATGCACAGTAACTGAACACCACAGCTCCATGCACAGTAACTGAACATCACAGCTCCATGCACAGTAACTGAACATCACAGCTCCATGCACAGTAACTGAACATCACAGCTCCATGCACAGTAACTGAACATCACAGCTCCATGCACAGTAACTGAACATCACAGCACCATGCACAGTAACTGAACATCACAGCACCATGCACAGTAACTGAACACCACAGCACCATGCACAGTAACTGAACACCACAGCTCCATGCACAGTAACTGAACATTACAACTCCATGCACAGTAACTGAACATTACAGCACCATGCACAGTAACTAAACATTACAGCACCATGCACAGTAACTGAACATTACAGCACCATGCACAGTAACTGAACACCACAGCACCATGCACAGTAACTGAACATTACAGCACCATGCACAGTAACTGAACACCACAGCACCATGCACAGTAACTGAACACCACAGCTCCATGCACAGTAACTGAACATTACAACTCCATGCACAGTAACTGAACACCACAGCTCCATGCACAGTAACTGAACATCACAGCTCCATGCACAGTAACTGAACATTACAGCACCATGCACAGTAACTGAACATTACAGCACCATGCACAGTAACTGAACACCACAGCTCCATGCACAGTAACTGAACATTACAGCACCATGCACAGTAACTGAACATTACAGCACCATGCACAGTAACTGAACATTACAGCACCATGCACAGTAACTGAACACCACAGCACCATGCACAGTAACTGAACATTACAGCACCATTCACAGTAACTGAACACCACAGCACCATGCACAGTAACTGAACACCACAGCTGTACCCATGTTGGACCACCACCCATGCCAGCTCCTCCCACGTGGATGAGGAACTCAACACCTCGATAGATTGACAGACAGACAAATCTTCGTGCAGATAACTGTAGAAGGTGTGGGCCGAGGTGATGATAACAGCGTTTCTAAACAATGCTCCCAAGAGGCAGATCTGAACTATGGAAGCGATATAAAATCACTAAAACGTGTACAGAGAAAGATGACAAAGTTGACCACATGAATTAGAAACTTGTATTATGAAGAGAGAAGCCCAATTTCGAGTCCCTGAAGGGGGGGGGGGCAAGGATTGAGATGGAACAAGAGTGAAGTATGCAAATTGATGAAGGGGAAATACCAGAGGAAATATTAGTTATATGACATTAATACCAACACAAAAAGCAGAACACGGAACAATAAATATAAGTTGGAAAAAAATATTAGATTGAGAAAGAACGTTGGGAAGTACTGATTAGGGAAGAGGGTTGTAGATTTTGGAGCAAATTATTGGGTAATATAATAGACCTGGAACCGCTGGATTGTGTCTATCGTTGGTTAGTTATTGGGTGAATGAGTTTGGTTGGGTATAGATATGAGCTGCCTCGCATGGGTCAATAGTCCTGAAGTTTATTCTATTCTTATGTTAAGATGGACCGTCTCCCAGGGTGCTGCCTCCCAGGGTGCTGCCTCCCAGGGTGCAGCCTCTTAGGGTGCAGCCTCCCAGGGTGCAGCCTCTTAGGGTGCAGCCTCCCAGGGTGCAGCCTCCCAGGGTGCCGCCTCCCAGGGTGTCGAGGAGCGGGCCGCCGGTGCTGGCGTGGGCGTCATACTGCTGTAGGACGCGAAGGATAATTACCATGATCAGTGGGCATCCTGAGTGGCCTCTGTGCCTCCTGCCCTGGCGACAGATGCTCTGCCCCCCCGGGCCATTATCGCAGACAAGGATGCACTAGTCTACATTAATGACTTATATACATATATCCCGGATGGGAGGTACATTTCCCACCAGTGGCTTCAGCCTGCGTACCTGCGAACTGTGGCTCACAGTTGTGAGCCACAGTTCGGCTGCGGCTCACAACTGTGAATATAAGTGTTTCTTATATTCACAGTTGTAAGTGTTTCCCGTGGGATGGAGGCGGGTAGCAGCTTCTGGTGTTACACTTGGAATGATTGCCACTCTCAAACCTTTTCTTTTTTCTCTTGATTCCTGTAGTTGCCTTTCCACCTTATGGGGAAGATACCTTCTGGTCTCCTGTCTATCGTTCCCATCTTGGTCCCCTTATATTTGTTGGAATTGGAGTCTAGTAATCATTTGTTTTCCCTTTCCTGTAGTTGCCAACGTCTTCCTGTAATTGTCAGTAGCTCCTCGGGGTTTTAGATGAATATCAAATGGATTTAAACTATTTCACAAAGATAGAAATATTAGACAAGGCGGGGAAAGTAGCCATATATTAGGGATGATTTGAGATGCAATCTCAAAGAGGGAATCAAAACTGAGCTACACAGTTGCCACACACACACACACAGAACCACACACACAAAGCCACACACACACAGAACCACACACACACAGAACCACACACACAAAGCCACACACACACACAGAACCACACACACAAAGCCACACACACACAGAACCACACACACAAAGCCACACACACACACAGAACCACACACACAAAGCCACACACACACACAGAACCACACACACAAAGCCACACACACACACAGAACCACACACACAAAGCCACACACACAGAGCCACATTATTACCCTGATTCGTCCTAAGGTACAACTTAGGAATTCGTCCTAAGGTACAACTTAGGAATTCGTCCTAAGGTACAACTTAGGAATTCTTCCTAAGGTACAACTTAGGAATTCGTCCTAAGGTACAACTTAGGAATTCGTCCTAAGGTACAACTTAGGAATTCGTCCTAAGGTACAACTTCCTATGGAGATTTTTGATGGGAACGACAGCTGAGTAGTGGAGTTACAAGACCTTTAATGCGTGACGGCCAACGCCATGACCACTACCTGAGAGATTATGCCAATTTAAGAGACAACGGTAATACGAGTTAAATAATAAACCTCACATTGTTTCAGTTAGTAAAACACTATTTGTCAAATACTGTTCTTAAAAGCTGACCCCCCCCCCCCAATTTGTACCCGCAAAATATTGTAAGTTAAGGAGATGATGAACGTTAATCTTTTTGTTTGAGAAGCCGTTCACTTGAGACAGTTAAGCAAGTCCCAACTGTGTCTTGGTACAAGTGACAGGATTAACAACCCAGCGGGTTTTCTTCCTATTGGGGGGTGTTGTGAATGCTGCTATGGCGGTGTGTCCACTTATAGGATGAGTGACGCTGCCAAATACTGTCACCATAGGGAGTGTGTGCACTCACAGGATGAGTGACGCTGCCTAATATTGTCACCATAGGGGTGTGTTCACTCACAGGATAAGTGACGCTGCCTAATACTGTCACCATAGGGGTGTGTCCACTCGCAGGATGAGTGACGCTGCCTAATATTGTCACCATAGGGGTGTGTCCACTCACAGGATGAGTGACGCTGCCAAATAAACTCGACCTTTGGGACAAAAAAATATAAAAATAGTATGAGAGCGGAATCCAGAGTATGACCCAGGCCATCGAGGGTTACCTGAACCACTCCTCCCAGCCTCCAGTGTCCCTGACGCCCCAGCGGAGGCCGGAGTGGAGGAGCTGCTCGAGGGTGTCGACGGGGGCTGCAGGCAGCGGCACCATCAAGAAAGCTATCAGCGCCGACTTGTAGACGCTGGAGATGACCGTAGCTGCCACCCAGCTGGTCACCACCACCACACGGAGCCCCGACGACACGGGCACCAGCTGACACGGCTGCGCCTGCGTCAGGAAGAGGCCCACCGCGTACCAGACGGCGTTGTCCAACCGCAGGAACCATGTTCCTGGCTCCAGCACGCCCGCCAGACGCACCACCGGAGGCACCGCGGCCATCATGCCCACGAGGGCGCACCACACACTCGCCTGAAATAACAAAAGATACGTAAGGAAGGAGGAGGAGGAGCCATGATCACCACATCTTTCCATCAACTTCTGTTCTTCATTTGTTCCACCACTTTCTTCTTCCTCCCGTCCTCCCTCTCAGCTCCCCTTCCCTCACTTTTCCTTCCCTCATTACTTCCCTCTTCACTCACTCACACCAAGCGCACGCCGACATCGCTGTCATGTGTGTGGGCGATGAGGCATTTCCTTTGTTTTAACCTCTCCTTCCTTCTTTCAGCTTCCTCGTTGCTTATAGATTCAGCTACTCGGAACATGTTCCAAGTAGCACGGGCTATGGTGAGCCCGTAGTGGACTTAACCTGGCACAGGAGCGGTGCCTCAGCTTCCTTTGTTGTCGTTTCAGATTTAGCTACTCGGAACATGTTCCAAGTAGCACGGGCTATGGTGAGCCCGTAGTGAACTTACCTGGCACAGGAGCCGTGCCTCAGCTTCCGTTGTTGTTGTGTTAGATTTAGCTACTCAGAACGAAGTGTCCATGTAGCACGGGCTATGGTGAGCCCGTAAACTCTCCTCTTCCTCCTTCAGTTGTACACCTCAGCGTCACACCCCCTCACCTGGAAGGGCGAGGTGACGGCTGTGTACTGAGCGTCACCGGGTCGCGGCTTCGGGGTGACGAAGCAAGTGTAGTCGATGTTGTAGGGGCGGGTCATGTCCATGATCTTGAGGCGGTCTGCGGTGATGAAGTAGTTCGCGAACGACACTTCTGTTTCCCCTCGTACCGTCTCTCCGACCGCTCCTGTCAAGCAGTGTGCATGGTAGGCAAGCAACAGTGTTGAGCAGGTAGGTGTGTGTGTGTGTGTGTGTGTGTAATTATCTAAGTGTAGTTACAGGATGAGAGCTACGCTCGTGGTGTCCCGTCTTCCCAGCACTCTTTGTCATATAACGCTTTGAAACTACTGACGGTCTTGGCCTCCACCACCTTCTCACCTAACTTGTTCCAACCGTCTACCACTCAAAAAACACCAGCCACACACCTTACCACCCAGCCACCATAGAGTTGTGTGTGTGTGTGTGTGTGTGTGTGTGTGTGTGTGTGTGTGTGTGTGTGTGTGTGTGTGTGTGTGTGTGTGTGTGTGTGTGTGTGTGTGTGTGTGTATAGAAGCGAACACAAGTGTTGAACAGAATCAGCGCAATACAAGTCTACAACGTCATAACATATTTATATATATAATTAGGTGAACGTTTTGCGAAGACATAAATAATTAGCAAGTGATATTAAGCCATAAATAAACACTACTCAGAACACCAAAAGCGTCCGGCCAAATATTTACCTCAACATCCTGATATAACCAACGCACTCCAAGTTAACCAAAAAAACAAAAAATCATCATGATCTACGCTGAACATCCCACGACACATTTAAACCACACAAAAATAATAACCTTGAAGATAACAGGTATTTATTGGAGTATGATAACAGGTATTTATTGGAGTATATTAAATATCCCGGTGGTATATTGAAAAACAGAAAGCTAGCAGGTATTGTGAGTTATTATTAAACGTGACTAGCTGTTGCAGACTCACTCACTTGGCCTCAGAGGCGACAACTGTTCTGGCGTCAAGAAGTGTTATAACAAGTGTGTATGTAAGTACTAATGGATGTAATGGAAGAAGTTGGCTAGCGTGTGATTTGAAGCCTCATGCGTGTTACATATAGAATCAGTTCGTCAATATCTGTCATTGTGATGACGTGTTATATATATAAACAGTTGGGGGGATATATATATATTCATGAATTACGGGCTATTCATGTCCGTGCCACCTCCTGGTTGGCTTAATCTTAATCAATCAATCGATCTATTCATGAACACGGGTACAGGGGAGCGGAGCCGGCGGCGGCAGCCAGGCTGGGCGGGAAGGAAGCCATTGTCCCAGCCGTTCACAAGCCTATCTTGGCCCGCGTAAAACCACACCAAAACTATATCTTCATCTCTTCCAGGTCTTTAGGGGTATTATCATCGAAGCCTCGCCCAATAGATACCCGTAGATACATACTCTGCCTCCTATTACCCGTCTATCAGGTTCAAGTATGTTTATTGAGATATGAAAATACATTTCAAAGGGATAGAATATCTTAGGCTATTTCTACCCACCTCTTTCCCCCCTGTCTATCTATCTACTGAGATAAAGTACTGTCTGTTATACCCCTTTGACTCACCTTTCCCATGATTCCTCATGGCCTCCTGAGCCCCTCATAACACTCACAGTGACATGTTTAGGAACTTTTATGTTAGAATACGAAGCAACGCGTCTTTATTAATTCACAAGTATTGGCGTGTCTGGAGTCTGGCCGGTTGTATTATATTGTATTCTGTATGGAGGTTTGTATTGTATTTGTGTATATTTAAGTAAATTGACGCGTTGGGATTCGGGCAGTCAGATGCTGCTTAATAGAAGTGTAACACTATTCACGGTTATGATTCAATGTCAATGAGTTCTGCCACTTGAGGGAGATAAGATAAGATTGGGTAAAATTTTAGACACAGGCCGTTGACTTGAAGTAATTGTGTACAATCACCTAGTTGTGCTTGCGGGGGTTGAGCTCTGCTCTTTCGGCCCGCCTCTTTCATAGGGTGAAAGAAACTCAGCTCATCGTTTCGCGCCGGCGCCCGGGATCGAACCCGGGACCACAGGATCACGTGCCCAGCGTGCTGTCCGCTCGGCCACCGGCTCCGTGTACTCACCTAATTGTGTTTGCGGGGGTTGAGCTTTGTCTCTTTGGTCCCGCCTTTCAACTATCAATCAACTGGTGTACAGATTCCTGAGCCTACTGGGCTCTTATCATATTTCTATTGTGTGTGTGTATTCACCTAGTTGTGCTTGCGGGGGTTGAGCTCTGGCTCTTTGAGCCTATTGGGGTCTATCATACCTACACTTAAAACTGTGTATGGAGTCAGCCTCCACCACATCACTTCCTAATGCATTCCATTTGTCAACCAAATGGAATCGAATACACACACACACACACAGTGTGTGTGTGTGTGTGTGTGTGTGTGTGTGTGTGTGTGTGTGTGTGTGTGTGTGTGTGTGTGTGTGTGTGTGTGTGTGTGTGTGTGTGTGTATGTGTGTGTGTGTGTGTATGTGTGTGTATGTGTGTGTGCGCGCGCAATTCTTACAGTTTATGCTTACAATCCTTTCACATTCCTATGCAACTCAAAATTCATTCACTATTCCGTCATTACACCCTGACACGCCTCTACCCTTCCCCGTCACTCTCTCTCCTCTTCCCGGCTTCCTCTCACCTGTCCAGCTGCCATTCGCCAGCCGGCTGCCCCATTTCTCGCCATCTGCAGGCTGGTGGATCTCCAGGGTGAAGTTGAGGGCGGAGGCCAGCGTCTGGAGAAGCCTGATCTCCAGCCCGTCGTAGGTCGCCCTCCCGCCCGGCCCACGCTCCAAGATGGTGAATGGCCGGTAATCAAAGGTTGTCGCGCGGAACTGGGTCGAGTCATGAGAGTGAGTGAGAGTGAGAGTGAGAGAGAGAGAGAGAGAGAGAGAGAGAGAGAGAGAGAGAGAGAGAGAGAGAGAGAGAGAGAGAGAGAGAGAGAGAGAGAGAGAGAGAGAGAGAGAGAGAGAGAGAGAGAGAAAAAAAAAACTACCGCTCAGGATGAGTAAGGGGTGCACAATAAACTACCACTCACAGGATGAGTATGGGGTGCACAATAAACTACCACTCACAGGATGAGTATGGGGTGCACAATAAACTACCACTCACAGGATGAGTATGGGGTGCACAATAAACTATCGCTCACAGGATGAGTATGGGGTGCACAATAAACTATCGCTCACAGGATGAGTATGGGGTGCACAATAAACTACCGCTCACAGGATGAGTATGGGGTGCACAATAAACTACCACTCACAGGATGAGTATGGGGTGCACAATAAACTACCACTCACAGAATGAGTATGGGGTGCACAATAAACTACCACTCACAGAATGAGTATGGGGTGCACAATAAACTACCACTCACAGAATGAGTATGGGGTGCACAATAAACTACCACTCACAGAATGAGTATGGGGTGCACAATAAACTACCACTCACAGGATGAGTATGGGGTGCACAATAAACTACCACTCACAGAATGAGTATGGGGTGCACAATAAACTACCACTCACAGAATGAGTATGGGGTGCACAATAAACTACCGCTCACAGGATGAGTATGCGGTGCACAATAAACTACCGCTCACAGGATGAGTATGGGGTGCACAATAAACTACCACTCACAGGATGAGTATGGGGTGCACAATAAACTACCGCTCACAGAATGAGTATGGGGTGCACAATAAACTACCACTCACAGAATGAGTATGGGGTGCACAATAAACTACCACTCACAGAATGAGTATGGGGTGCACAATAAACTACCGCTCACAGAATGAGAATGGGGTGCACAATAAACTACCACTCACAGAATGAGTATGGGGTGCACAATAAACTATCACTCACAGAATGAGTATGGGGTGCACAATAAACTATCACTCACAAAATGAGTATGGGGTGCACAATAAACTACCACTCACAGAATGAGAATGAAATGAGCAATAAAGTAGCCATCACTCACAGCAACAATCAATTATTTTCCTTCAGTAAATTACTTTACTGTGGCCCAAAACCACAACTAAGTACATTATTGAATATATAAATCAGAATGCAAAAATAACAAATTCGGAAAAAATAAAGGAAAAAACTTGAATTCTCTCCAAACTTTACCGTGAACCCGTGGAAGTGAGCGAGCTTCCTGGGAAACCACTGGACGCCGCCAAAGTTCCTCCCATGTGGCCACGTGCCCAAGTTCCACCCACGTGGCCACGTGCCCAAGTTCGTTAAGGAAATACGCTGTTGGGCCAGGAAGAAGAGGTGGGTATACAGCGTCAGCGCCACTTGGCCGCCAGCGGCAGAGGATGTAACTAACAGCACGTTCGGGATCTTGTTGATCGGAGACGCCTGTAAGGTAGTATTGATCTCTTGATATGGCTGCGTTTAATGAACTCTTTTTAATGAACATATCATCATGCTGGACAAGACCTACGTGAAACAGTATCCATACAAAGGAGATTTTTTGAAACTCTTGCTACGTGCATCAGTCATGTTGTTTACATTGGATATTACAACATTCCTAGTATCTGAACAAATCCACAAGGGTCGTAATGAGGATTCGAACCTACGCATGGGATGTTCCTAGCGGCGCCTTCACAGTTGACTAAGGCGCAGCTGGGAACATCCCTTGCGTCGGTTCGAACCCTCATCACGGCCCTTGTGGATTTGTTCATTTGATATATCACGCTATTGTGATTTCTGCGTGTATTCCTAGTATCTATTTTGCATGTTTCGTTTGTTCTTGTCACCACATTTATTGTGTGCGGGGTGGATAGATATTGTTTATTGTTCCACAGCCTGGTTGATCAGTCCAGCAACCAGGAGGCCTGGTCGACGACCGGGCCGCGGGGACGCTAAGCCCCGGAAGCACCTCAAGGTATCCTCAAGGTATTATGTTGAGTCTATTTTCACTTTTAACTCTTATACATCGGCTCACTTCCCTATAGAAATGTAATGACATTAGATGTTTTTTCTATAAATCTCAATAGTCATCAGGATTTGACATCTCTTTGGCTATTATTATCTAATACAACGAGTAAACAATGTTATTGTCCATAAAAGATAATTATTTAGAAGTACTTGGGAGCTGTGGCAAGCAGTGAGCTCACAAAATGTTGTTCTACAAAATATTAAGTCAGAGATAATTTTTTTGTCTGTATTTTCATGTTGTTTAATTTACACAAATGTACTTTGTTCTCTGGGTCATCATTCCTTGTACGGAACACGTAAATTAAGATGTGACTATCCAAATTAAGAAAACATCACTATCAGAATTTAATTCATTATATATTATGTATATCCAAGGAAGTACAGTTTAAGAAAGTTTTTAATATTTAAAAAATTTTTTAACTTATAATATGCAAACAGGTTTATACAAGCAAATCGATTCTTATAAAAATTGCGCATAGTAGTGATCCACAGCCAAGATAATTGCGCATTCTAAGGGCTAGCTCTAAGCTCTGATAACTAACTTGGTTCCTCTTCCTTTTTAAGGAAATTACAATAATTCAATAAACCAATACGATATATTAAGAACTTTAATGTAAATTGTGTCTGATCAAAGAGACCGCTTAGAACCCAAGACGAAATAGTCAGTATAGAACCATTTATCAGTTGAGAAATATTGATATACGTATGCAAGTGCAGGGTGTTTAGAAATTATACAGGTAATCCCCTCCCCCTTCCGGGTCTATCCCTTGGACTGGTTGGTACAGCGAGCCTATAGTTCCTTCACGACATCCTAGAAACCTAGCTCCTATTCTAACTATCCTTTTCATCCTCGTATCTACTGTAGTCTCATCCATCCTCGTATCCTAGCGCCTATAGTCCCACTATTCCTTCCATCGTCACAACTTCCTGTAAGCTCACCTGCAGGAAGGCGAGGACACCGTCGGGGCGAAGGTGTGTAACTAAAACAAACTTGGCGTGAAGATCGAGGCTGTCCTGGTGGAGGGCGTCAAGCAGCTGGAGTAGTCTGTGCGGGTCGGTGACCAGGAACAGGTAGTGGGTGCAGGTTTCTTGCCCCACCCTCAGGTACTGGCTAGCCAGGAGCGGCCCACCGTCTTCCTGTGAGACACAGTGATCACTCTGTAAATACTATCTGAGTACTGGAACACTTGATGATATACTGGACTTTTATACCCAATATTGACTGTGTAAGGCATCGGCTATGTAATATGTGTGATTTAACTAAGGCTTGAGATTATGAAAGCATTAAACACCCTTTGTGATTAACAATACACTAGGGTGTATTTCAACTTTTTGGTTAGGGAAATATTTGATGGTATGGTAAATACAGGCGTCATTAGGCTCATCGCAGCGCTTAATTTAATACCAATCTTAAGTTTGAATAAATATAAACTGCACTTTTACCATATAATCCAAGTTGCGGTGATTAACAATGCCACCCATCTTAAAAAAAATCAAGAGGCCATCAAAATAGCAAATAACACATTTAAAAAGATATAAACAAATGGAAGGAGAGGTATATTTAGGTGAGGATGATAGGCTGGTGATGAAGGCGCGTGTAATAGTGGGAGGTTGAGCCCTAAACGAGTCTCAAAGCGTTGATAGAGTTCCAGCCGAACAGACAAGTGACCTACAACCAGGGAAATGACTACGGACTTGCTGGCCTTGACCCAGTGCCATCCCGGGACGCTGTTTATATGGTGACATTTTATTCAAACAGCCGACTGGATTACATACACCCTTAAAGCCAAGCATTAGTGGATTTAATGAGGTTTGTAATGTTTCATGTTGATATAAAATGTAAGAAAATTAAAAATGCAATAATTATGCTACTTTCTGAATACATTTTTTGTGTGTATATAGGCAGGCAAGAGGGTTACTCAGTAGACAAAATATTGAAGTTCTTGCGAGACAGGATCACGTATAACATTTGGGGTTGACGGCTCAGGCTTTATGATGATATGGAAAATTGGTTTACTGAGAATTATATAAAATATATATAAATGGAGCTAAAAATTTATATATATAAATTATATTGTATATTATTTAATAAAGACAAAAAATAACATCCGACTGAATGACCCTTTGAGTTATATCAACCAAACAGCAAGTGTATAGAGATAAACATGCATCAAATAATAAACAATTATTTTCAAAGGTCAGCGTTGGTAATACAATAATAACACCAATCTTCAATAAATACAAATTAAATTAAACTTAACCAGAATTTCGTCCAGTCTTTTAAAAATATATAACCTCTTGATACACCTCACACGAGTCTACGGCGAATATGTTAAGAACAAATTTTGAATTATTAAGCTCAAATAAACCAACGAAGGAGAGGAAGACGTAAGCTGTTGGAGACACTAGGCTGCTGGAGAGGTAACGAGCAATGCTATTGATTGATTGATGAAGATTAAGCCACCCAAAAGGTAGCACGGGCATGAATAGCCCGTAAGTGGTGGCCCTTTTGAGCCATTACCAGTATCAATAGATGATACTGGAGATCTGTGGGGGTGCGACTGCACCCTGCGTGAAGGGAGATGTCTCCCGTGTGGAGCAATGCTAACGGCGTTGATTACTTTATAATAGTGCCGCTGCGCACATTACAGTGTTAAGGAATGTGTCTGTATACACCAACTGCAAATGTCTGAAACAGCAAAATAAATAAATAAAAAATACGTTTAATAGGATATAACGCTCAACAGACACAAAATCTGTTTATTTCAATGTGCTTAATTTTGTATATAAATATTTAAAAGCTCAAAATTATAACAAGCGCAGACTTTTAAGATAAAGGATTGAAACAACAAGCAGCAGACTTTAAAAACATGCTTGCGAACACGGCTTTATCAAGTTGCAGGAGGGTGAAGCAGGCGGCCAAGGTATACGAACGACGCATTAAAACCTCGGGTTTTAATGTTCCTTTAGGATAAACTCTTGAATATTGAGCAAAATGACACATTGTTGCTGATGTTGGAACCCCGAACACCTGCTTTTAAGACTTGCAGCGAAAAGCAACTATTTTGTTCTCTTTACTAAATAATATACAATATAAATATCATATATTCATCAATTTATAAGGGAATATAAATTGTATATAGTTTCTATAATTCTCAGTAAACAAATTTTCCAAAGTCATTCATTAAACAACCAACCGAGTCATCTTCACGGTTAAAGAAATTAACAAATTATACAAATTACGTATGTTAATCAATTCAAAACATGGCTTATAAATTCAGCAAGGTGTGCCAGGGGTTCAGATCCAATGTCGTATAAGTCTGCAGGGTTCAATCTTCGAACCGATGTCAAGGCTCTATGTAAAGTGAATTTGCATTGCGCCCATGTTTGCATATTAACCCAAGAAAATACAGCGCGCAGGTGCAATAATAAGTAGCTTTTATGATTATATGCAACACGCAGCTTCATATGGCTCCTCCATATAAGCAACATTCTCCTCTTGAATGGGTACTGTTGCATCACGGAGACCACAGCCTAATGGAGTTCATCGTACCTGGAACATGTACCCGCAACATTCTCCAGTTGAACCGCCCGCAATATTCTCTATATACATTATCCAGTTGAATGTGTGTTGTTGCATCGCGGGGATCGCCTAATTCATAAAGCAAGTATCACAACTGCTTCAGTCTCATCAATATTTTAAAAAGGTTTTCTTGTCTCTCGGTGTCCCAAATTTCATGTCATTCAAGAAACATTAAAAGTTACGAAATCTTCTTCAACAACGAAGTAACCTCATTGTTTAATTTCACTGACCTTATTGTATACGCAGTTTATTAATTAACTGATTATGCCTAATTTACGATGCTCTTAACTAGAATCAACCTAAAGTTGGTATTAGGGGGGTAGAAATAGCCTAAGCTACTCTATCCCTTTGAGATGTATTTCTTTCCTTTCTTAGTCTCAATAAACATACTTGAACTTGAAAGTTGGTACTCTTACGAAAACTTTCCCTCTTACGTGTACTGTATAATCAATCGTGAAAGAAACTTTGCCCATTGTTTCTCGCCGGCGCCCGGGATCGAACCCGGGACCACAGGATCACAAGTCCAGCGTGCTGTCCGCTCGGTCGACCGACTCCTAATTGTTGTAATTTGTATTTTGTATTAAATAAACTGGATGGTGTTTCTCTGCATTTTAATTATTAAATAAACTAGACACAGCTGTTATTTCCACTTGAATACTAGCAAATCAACGAAAACAATGCTATACCGCCCAAGTATCGTAGCAGCCTATCAACGCCCAGTTAAAAACATCACCAGTTTTAAAACAACAGCCTATCACCAGTTAAACCAATGCTCTTCCAATCAAGCGACATAGCAACGAATCAACGTCCATCCCGCTATTAAAACTATGCTACCCCCCGATCCAGTAGCATAGGAGCCAACCACTGACCTTCACACTAACAACAACAAATGCGCCGATCTAGTAGGCTACAGCAGCCAATCAACGGCCTTCAATCGCCAACAACAACAAACCTAATCCGGACGAGTGTTCCAAGCCATCACTCTCGTCAGGAGGCGGCGGGGGTGCGCGAGTGGCTCTGTGGGGGAGGCACTTCGTCATCAACACCATGGTGAGGACGACCATTTAGTCTGGCGGGAGGATGGGCCAGACATTAGCGTCTTCCTGGGCCCTGTACACACACACGCGCGCGCGCACCTTCTCCACCCCCTACCGCTAGCCTCGTGCGAAAACGAAGCGAGGATGCACATTGCAACAATACATGTATATGTATTTTAATTGATTTAAATGAGAAGTAGGTGTTTAACTTCTGTTGGAATATTTGAAGTACTAAGGTGAAGCATTTATAGCAATCCGTCCTCGACTCAAGTCCATTACATCCAGCGGTCGACCCCCACAGACGCATTCATCAATTTTTACATGTTGTTCATTCAAAACGCGAATTTTCTCGAATATAAATTAATATTATAATAGCATATAGTGCATATATAGGCATAGATTAGGTGTTTAGGTTCTGTTGGTGATTATTTGTAGTACGTGGGTGAAGGATTTATAGCGTTGTGGTTCGAACAAAATTCATCAGTGAAGCACTTGTTCCCGAAGTGTTCGAACGTCATCAGTTGTGTGTCCTGTGTAAACCGCTTTTCATTCATAAACAGGGGGGTTTGGCGGTTGGATTAACGAGCTTGGATCTTTGTATGCGAGGACGGGCTGGTGGATTAACGAGCTTGGACTTGTGTTCATGAGGACGGGCTGAATCTGCAACCCGTCCTCAGAGCGTAAGGACTCGGAATCCTCAACTCGATTGTTTACGCAATAATTGTCGTCTAATTTTAAGCACGTTGTTGAGTTTTAAATATATTTCTTTCTTGTGCATATATCTTTGTCCTTTATTGTGTATATAGTTTATTTTAGGTTTTAATTTTAGTATGTTTTAATATACATATGTATATATATATATATATATATATATATATATATATATATATATATATATATATATATATATATATTATATAGATCGATCATTGATCGATCTTTAGACGATCATTGGTACGGTGGTCACGGTACTGTGTACGTTTAGGGGTGATCCTGGACGGCATGGGTTCGAATCCTGGCCGGGTCAAAGAGTTCTTAGTGATCTATGGCTTGCGCGTTCATGCAGCTTTCTCACGCACATATATGTGTGTGTGTGTGTGTGTGTGTGTGTGTGTGTGTGTGTGTGTGTGTGTGTGTGTGTGTGTGTGTGTGTGTTTATATAACAATGATGATCCTCTGAGGGATCATAGTCACAATAAATGTGGGTAATAACATTTCATTCACTTGGGCTTTAAGAGCCTCAAACAACAATCCCAAGAGCTGGAGACTTACTACTTAGATGCTCACGAATTAACCCCTTTCACTGCTCAGCCCGTCCTCCAAACAAAAACCCAAAAGTGATTCCATCCACCCACCAAACCCCCTGTTTGTGAATGAAAAACAGTTTACACACGACTCACAACTGATTTCGTTCGAACACTTCCAGGACATGTGCTTCACTGACAAATTATGTTCGAACCACAATGCTGTAAATGCTTCACCCACGTACTACAAATACAAATAATGGCCAACAGAACCTAAACACGTAACCTATCCTAATCTATGCCTACATATGCACAATATGCTAATATATAATATTAATTTATATTTGAGAAAATTCCTGTTTCGAATGAACAGCATGTTACAATTTATGAATGCGTCTGTGGGGTCGACCGCTGGATGTAATGAACATGAGTCGAGAACGGATTGCGCTGCTCGAATCGCCAAATTAGATTTTCCCATTTGATTTGTTAACTATTTTTAGCCATGCGCACCTTGATGTACTGATTTTAAAATAGCTGCGCAGTTTAAAGGTTAAAAGTACTCGTGCAGGACGCTGTTGTTCTTTGTTGCACAATATTCATAATAGCTTTGAGATGGTGTTCTCCGCATACAAGACGAGGCTATGTACACTACCGCAGGACGCGGGATAATACTGCCAATACCATACACCACCAGTTAACTTCAGTGTGGTTCGGTAACTCGCTGGTATAAACATTACCAGTGTTCAGAGGAAGGGAGGAATGACAGGGAGTGGAAGCTCTCCGGCCGAGGTCAGGTCCCAGAGCTGGTTAAGACAGTGCGGTATGGGATTGTGATTACTTATGTGATAAGTAATATAAGTATGAGATTGATTACTTGGTGCCTTTAGTCGGAATCTTTCACCTACACGGGTTGATATCCTTTACACGGAAAGATTACACAGTCTGAGATTGATTACCTGCAATGACTCGAAAATATGTTTTGTTGATACGTTAAAGATTGCATTATTACTTAAACCAACTTAAGGCACTATGTGAACAATTGTCCGCAGAAAGAATGCATGGCATTATAACACTGTGTGGCATGGAACATTCTAGAGAGTGAATACATGGCAAATAACGTATCATGGAACATTCTAGAGTGAATACATGGCAAATAACGTATCATGGAACATTCTAGAGAGAGAGAACGCATGGCGATACAACAATACGTGTGTCATAGAACATTCTAGAGTTTCTAGATGTTACAGACTGCCAATACAGGAGAAGACACAAGTTGACGAATATCAAAGGATTCAGTCACTGATGATTTTCTGGAGAGGACGACTATTATATACCAAACACATACGCAACTACTTACGAAACCTATACATCTTTCGTAAATTGTGGGGACTTTTGTTTACATTTATTGAACACTTTATGAACCCTGAAGCATTACGAGGCTGTTTATAACAACAGTAATCTTAGGTTGTGAAACTTTAAATGCTCACAAGGTGTTTAGTTAATGCAAACAACGCCATGATTATAGCACAGACGGACGGGTTTCAAAAAACGGTTGCATCAAATCATACTACTTGTGTAAAGGGGAAATCTGTATGTTTATCTCTCAGAATGTTCGGTAATATGTTTATTATTTGTGATGTGTTTCTATGTATATATTAACACGATGTACTGAACGGGGTGAGGATAGCTTGAGCTACCTCATCCCTTTGTGTGTATTTTACCTCAATAAACTTATTTCAATTTCAATGCTGGGTGAACCCTGGCTAGGGCATGATAAAGCTTGTAGCATCTTGAAGTGAACCCTAGGGAGCGAGAGGAGACACAAGGAGCCCAGCAGCTGGCGGGGAGCCAGGAGGAGGAAATTAGCCCCAAGGTCATGAGTACATCAAGAGACACATGTTGTACGATACACAACATGCTGGAGTGTAATCAGCAAGGGGCTCACTCTCCAGTGTCACGCCAGGCTAGGCTTTATCATTACCGCCAATTATAATACACACACACACACACACACACACACACACACACACACACACACACACACACACACACACACACACACATATATATATATATATATATATATATATATATATATATATATATATATATTATACCATCAATAGGTCAACCTCAGCTAATTCCAAGTATTGAAAATGTGGGGCGTAGAAGTAGCTTCCTTACTCTACCATCTATTGCAGGTCTTAATGCAAGCGGCAGAGGCTACCCTAGAGGAATATATATATATATATATATATATATATATATATATATATATATATATATATTCCTTCTGAATATATAAGGTCTATATATATATAGACCTTCTGAAGATGTATTTAATATACGAAAGTACTTAAGGAAATTTCCTGTTTCATTTTTCCTCCGTGGTCTGACATTGTCACATTCTTAATCACGTGTTTATTTTCGTGATATACACACACACATATATATATATATATATATATATATATATATATATATATATATATATATATATATATATATATATATATATATATATATATATATATATATATCAAAAGGAGAGCACTGGGTACGAGCAAAAGGAGAGCACTGGGTACGGATTTCACCATTTCTTTAGAAGCAGAAAAAGGAGGGTAGAAATAGCCTAAGCTTCTCTATCCCTTTGAGATGTATTTTTTCTTGTCTCAATAAACATACTTGAATTTGAACTTGAAGCAGAAAAATCGAAGCATTGTTTTTTTTTTAAGATTAGTATCAGAGTTAGAGTAACTCTACTATGAAAACAGGCTATTCAATATCAATTTAATAAAACTAGTATACTAGTATCTACAAACGAGCAAAGAAATTTGCAGAAGTATCCAGCCTAAAACAAGCAAAAACAAGATTTCACGAAAACCCGCCTACAAGGTCCGTAGAAGACACAAGAATTTGCAGTGGCCAGACTTGGGAAATTCTAACGCGGGACACAGGAATCCTCACGGAACCTCAAAAGTCGATACAGTTTAAGTCATACAGTCTAAGATTCTGAGTGGTCTGTACAAGCAGCTCCAAGAACTCATACACCGCCAAAAGCAACATTTCTTAGCTTTTTAAAAATAAATATGTTAATATAAAGCTTTTATAGACCCCTTCAAAGCAATGATGTCACGTGAACGCCTGTTTTATGTAAACATTTCTAAGAAACGATCAAGCATCGTTTGCCTTTGCTCCAAGTGATTGGAAATATCGACGGTTCCAGTATTGTTGATGATACTCCTTTCATATCAGAACAGCCATCAAAACTGCAAATTCAAAAAGATTTAAAAAATGTCAACATCCGCAGTGATATCGTAGGCTACTGTGGCGGGAGCCATATTCAAATTGCGCGCCGGCGGGAGCCATATTCAAATTGCGCGCCGGCGGGAGCCATATTCAAATTGTGCGCCGGCGGGAGCCATATTCAAATTGTGCGCCGGCGGGAGCCATATTCAAATTGTGCGCCGGCGGGAGCCATATTAAAATTGCGCGCCAGCGGGAGCCATATTAAAATTGCGCGCCGGCGGGAGCCATATTCAAATTGTGCGCCGGCGGGAGCCATATTCAAATTGCGCGCCGGCGGGAGCCATATTAAAATTGCGCGCCGGCGGGAACATTTCCCTCCTCCAGGTAATACCTGGCTACTGGCCGCGCCGCCGTCAGTAAACAACCTCACCTCCTGGGGACCACAACTGACTTCCACACTGCACCTTCGCTCTGCATCCAAGGACTCTGAGCTCGGGGGCTCTCCCGTCTACTCCAGAAGCCTACCAGACTCCAAAGACCCTAGCCTCAAGGTAAGGCTCATATCTTATGTAACCCCCTAATCACCTTGTGGAGGTTTGCAACTAGATTAGTCCCCAAATTCAGAGACCTCAGTTATGATGATAGAACACATCTTCACAACCTTAGAGAAGAGAAGAAACAGCGGGTATATGATGACTACCTAAACAATTTTGAAGTGAAATAGGTAAAGTGGATAAAAGTTTAAAGTGAAATATGTAAAGTAGATAAAAGTTTGAAGTGAAATAGGTAAAGTGAATAAAATTTTAAAGTGAAATAGGTAAAGCAGATAAAAGTTTAAAGTGAAATATGTAAAGCAGATAAAAGTTTGAAGTGAAATAGGTAAAGTGGACAAAATTTTGAAGTGAAATAGGCAAAGTGAATAAAAAGAAGTTTATTTGAATTAAAAAAGAGGCAGGAGAAGTCGGTGTAAACACAATTGAGTCGAAGAGATTTAAGGAAGTTCTCATTCTCTGTACAGGTCTGAGGTTGTCGTCTGGTTATGTTTAAAAATTATTTATATATATACATATAATTGAATTATATATAAACAAGAGAGAGAGCATAAGGCACGTACCTGGGAGGGAGGTGGCAGAGTAAAGACTGTCACTGGGCACACCTGTTCCTCTTCCGACCCTCCGCTTCCCACCTGAAACATTAAAGTGTTACTCTTCGGTTATCAGAAGCAAGAAGGTCGGGGCCATGAGCATTTGAGTTAAGGGAGTCTTAATCAAACGTTTTGAAGCAAGGAAGTCAAGTATATAAAAAAAAGTTTTGAAGCAAGTAAGTCAAGTATAAACAAGTTTTGAAGCAAGGAAGTCGGGTATAAACAAGTTTTGAAGCAAGGAAGTCAAGTATAAACAAGCTTTGAAGCAAGGAAGTAAGGTATAAACAAGTTTTGAAGCAAGGAAGTAAGGTATAAACAAGTTTTGAAGCAAGGAAGTAAGGTATAAACAAGTTTTGAAGCAAGGAAGTCAGGTATAAACAAGTTTTGAGGCAAGGAAGTAAGGTATAAACAAGTTTTGAAGCAAGGAAGTCAAGTATAAAAATGTTTTGAAGCAAGGAAGTCAGGTATAAACAAGTTTTGAAGCAAGGAAGTCAGGTATAAAAAAGTTTTGAAGCCAGCTAGTCATGGATAAGGACTGACTCATCGAAATTATGAATAAGTAGCACTGATGGGGTGTGAAACAAGGGTGGGCCTTAATATGGAGAATGATGACAAAGGGGCTGAGACGGTGACTGTGGAGGGAGTAAGGTTAAGGGAGGGAATGAAGGATTAATTAAGGTAAAGGCGTCTGGAACATGTTCTTCTGAGGTATATTAACAATATATGGAAGAAAATGTACTAAACATTGGGTAGGCTGAGAAGTGATATATATATATATATATAATATATATATATATATATATATATATATATATATATATATATATATATATATATATATATATATATATATATATATATATATATATATATATATATATATATATATATATATATATATATATATATATATATATATATATATATGTCGTACCTAGTAGCCAGAATGCACTTCTCGGCCTACTATGCAAGGCCCGATTTGCCTAATAAGCCAAGTTTTCCTGAATTAATATATTTTCTCTAATTTTTTTCTTATGAAATGAAAAACCTTCCCATTTCTTTATGTATGAGGTCAATTTTTTTTTATTGGAGTTAAAATTAACGTAGATATATGACCGAACCTAACCAACCCTACCTAACCTAACCTAACCTATCTTTATGGGTTAGGTTAGGTTGGGTAGCCGAAAAAGTTAGGTTAGGTTAGGTTAGGTAGTCCAAAAACAATTAATTCATGAAAACTTGGCTTATTAGGCAAATCGGGCCTTGCATAGTAGGCTGAGAACTGCGTTCTGGCTACTAGGTACGACATATATATATATATATATATATATATATATATATATATATATATATATATATATATATATATATATATATATATATATATAACGAAGAAGTCACGAAGTCACGACGAAGTCACGACGAAGTCAACGACATCATTAAAAGAAGCCTTGCCTCTGCTCAGTGTCCAGCGGAGAGAGAGCCCCGCAACCTACTGAACCGTGACTCTGTTAGCTTTGCCGGCCGACCAGACGGAATCACACTGCGTCCGTGGAAGGGTGGCAGGCAGTTAGCATGGGACTATACTTGCGTATCCACCCTGGCAACGACATACATCACCCTCTCTGCCGGCACGGCAGGAGCCGCAGCGACACACAGAGAAAAACAAAAGTCAGTCAAGTACAGGCAATTAGATCAAAGGTACAATTTCGTTCCAATAGGGTCTGAGACCCTAGGCCCATGGGGTGAGAGTGCAAGAAGGTTTCTTAAGGATCTTGGTTCCAAGCTCATTGACACCACAAGAGACCCTAGAGCAGCAAGTTTTCTCTTTCAGCGCCTCAGTGTCGCGATCCAGAGGGGAAATGCCCGCTGCATCCTCGGTTCCTGCCCGGCGTCGGAGGAGTTCGAGGAAATCTACAGCCTCTAGGAAGCGAACTTTTTCTTGTGTCCTCTTAATGTTCATTTTTTGTATAAAATCAGATATGTAACTGTATAACCTTGCATAATAAAGTGTACATCATAATAAAAAAAAAAAGGGGGTGGTAGGAGAAGTGAACACTCTTTCGTATTCAGAGTTAAATGTCAAGTTTTTCCCTGAGTGCTCTGTGTTCCCTTCTCTGAGGCTGTGGGTCCCTATAATTACACCAGTGGTGGTACCCCCCTATATATATATATATATATATATATATATATATATATATATATATATATATATATATATATATAGACAACTAACACAACACCTATACCCCCTATTAGACTATTTTACAGGAACTTCTTTTCCACAGCTCATAAAACAGAGGAAAGGGTCCTGAAAGATATTGTTAATAGAAACGTCATCCCTACAGACAAAAATCAGAGGATACAACTGACGATTTACTATAAAACCAGAAAAACGGCCAGCCTACTCATGAGAAACTCTCCAGACACAAAACAGAACGCTTTAAAAGAGACAAACGTCGTCTATGCCTTCAAATGCCCACTTGGGGACTGTAAGCTCCAAAAAACCCAGTATATAGGCAAGACAACAACATCTCTTTCTAGGCGTTTAACGATGCATAAACAACAGGGCTCCATTAAGGAACATATAATCTCTTCCCATAACCAAACCATCGCCAGAGAAATCCTAGTAAACAACACAGAAATCATCGATAGATACAGCGATAGCAGGCGGCTTGACGTTTGCGAGGCACTACACATCAAGAAGTCAACACCAGCAATCAACAGCCAATTATTGCACAACTATATTCTACCCACCTTAAGACTCCGCTCCAATATAGAAGCATCAAGAAATATGGACCAATAGGCTTTCTACAAACACTTCTATTCAATACCCATTGTTTCTGTTCTGTCTTGTGTTGATACTTTTAATACCCTATTAATATCCCCTAGTGTTCTGTCTTGTGTTAATGCCACATCACCCTTCCCACCTCACTCAAATGTAATGCCACATCACCCTTCCCACCTCACTCAAATGTAGATATAAAATCAGGGAAACGCAAGTTCTAATCAGTTGTGTATTTGTGAAGTCTTTGAAAATGTAATAAGTTTTACGAAACGCGCCCGTGTCGCGTCAGACTAGAAATAAAAATGAATTTTGGAGAAGTGATTTTTGATTTACCTCCAACAGTGAAGCGTAATGTACGAAAGATTGAGAAAATTCGTGTTAGAATTATTAATCTTACTTTTTCGGTCATATTTAATAATATATATATATATATATATATATATATATATATATATATATATATATATATATATATATATATATATATATATATATATATATATATATATATATATATATAATTATTGAATTTTAACTATCCACGGTATTGCTGCAACTATACATATTCTATATCTCTATATATACTATACCTGCAACAAAATCTTATATGTATACTTTTGTAAATGTATATTTCGGAGGCAGTGGTACTGAAGGTTAAGTCTGGTCCAAATGAATTTTTGTATCCGCTGTAATTCCTCCAGTTTTTATTTTTTATTTTTTACGTCTTCTATAATGGGGTTTCTACGTTGGTTCTTTGTAAACAACTCTTGAAACCTATTCTTGAGCTCTTCTCACATAACTTGTTATCGTTTTCCATGGCAATTTCCTCTCTTCTCTTCTACCTGATTGCGCGGTCTCTTATTGTGTTCTTCTCCATATATGGCTCTAGATCAGCTGTTGTGGATATGTATGTACTCACCTAGTTGTGCTGGCGAGGGGTAGAGCTTCGGCTCTTTGGTCCCGCCTCTCAAGTGGCACTCTAATGGTGTTCCTGAAACCTGTACGTGTGCAGGTGGCATTCACCTAGTTGTGCTTGCGGGGGTTGAGCTCTGCTCTTTCGGCCCGACCCGCCTCTTAACTGTCAATCAACTGTTACTAACTACTAATTATTTTTTCCACACACACACACACACAACTAGGAAGTAGCCCGTAACAGCTGGTTAACTCCCAGGTACCTATTAACTGCTAGGTAATAGGAGAATCAGGGTGAAAGGAACTCTGCCCATCTGTTTCCGCCGGCGCCAGGAACCGAACCCCGGTCCACAGGACTACGTATCCAGCGTGTTGTCCACTCAGCCACCAGTGCCCTGCCCTGACACACACACACACGTGTGTGTGTGTGCTTACAAGTGTGTACGTGCGTATTTGTAAGCATCGATGCAGGTGAAGCCAGAGCATATAAATATGTGGATGTGTGAATAAAACTTACACGTATTAATTCTAAGTTGCAAGGCAGCATACATACATACGTGTTTATGCTGTGGTCGACACCCCTTGTATTATGTCTTCAGCACACGCCGTCTCTAATACACCTGTCTCTCTCTACACCAGACGCGTCTTGTCATATATATATATATATATATATATATATATATATATATATATATATATATATATATATATATATATATATATATATATATATATATATATATATATATATATATATACACACACACACACCTTACGCAAGGTTCAATTAATGCTCACACCTGGTTTGTATTGGGGGACGGTGCCAGCTGCAAAGTTGGAGGTTTGCGAGTCAGGAATCGTAGGCTGTTTCGGGTCTGGTTAAGGTAGGTTACGTTATGTTAGGATTAGGTTAAGTTAGGGTACGCTAAGTTAAGGTAGGTTAAGTTAGGTACTTGTCATGCCTACATAATAATACGTAATAAACTAAGGCTATTTGGTGTCGATGGATACGTTTTGCACGTAATTAGGCCTAAGGTAGTTTTTTTTATTAGGCTTAAAGCATGTTATTTTTTGTATTAGGCTTAAGGTAGGTTATTTTATATTGCTTGCAAGATACATTTAACACTGTATAACAATATTATGTGTTATTTTTGCAACATATTAAATTACATGATGTCACGGCCGTGTAAAGTTAGCAACTCCCCCGATTTGTGTATCAAAAATTAGTTCATGTGTCATCTGGATACACATTAAAATAGGAAAGAGCGGCTTCACACTAACTTACAAGGGGGGGGGGGGGGAATCCTTATCCACAAACATCCATTCGCTGTGAGACATTACCAAGACATCCTACCTGTTGGCTGCCTGTTAAAAGATTCAACGTCATCCTTAAGACGCATTTGATACGTACGTCATCAACATGCACCTCTCATGTACGTCAATAACACGTCTTACGTACGAGGACACCTCTAATGTACGTCAACAACACCTCTCACGTACGACATCTTTCACGTACGTCACCACCTCTCACGAACGTCAACACAAGTCAGATATCGGTGGACGCGTCAACCGTTCCACGCTTCACGGACACACCAAAACCCAAGAGGCTCACCTCATTGTGCTGGAGGAAGAGTTGCACGGCCGGCAGGTGCAGGAGGTCGGTGGTGATGGCCAAGGCGCAGCGCCCCAGCTGCTGCCCTTTCACCGCCGTCAGCAGCGACGCCACCTCCAGCGCCCTCCCCCAGAACCTGTCGTCTGCAGCTTTTTGTGGGAAGGCCTTGGTGGGTTGTTCTTCGTCGTGGAGGTCTTCGGTGGGTTGTTCTTCGTCGTGGAGGTCTTTGGTGGGTTGTTCTTCGTCGTGGAGGTCTTTGGTGGGTTGTTCTTCGTCGTGGAGGCCCTTGGTGCGTTGTTCTTCGTCGTGGAGGCCCTTGGTGGGTTGTTCTTCGTCGTGGAGGCCCTTGGTGGGTTGTTCTTCGTCGTGGAGGCTATTGGTGGGTAGTTCATTGTCACTGTGTACCTTGGTGGCAACTGGATCCTTTGGAGCAACATTCGTAGCGTGGAGTGGTGTTCGTAGCACAGACCAGCGTTCGGAGTCAGCGTTCGTAGCGTGGAACAACGTTCGTAGTGAAACTGTTAATCGTTCCTCGGCTTGGAACGAGGAGAGAGAGGAAGGGATTGTCGAGGGAAGGGTTGACGGGCGGGCCGCAGGAACGGGTGTATTGGGTGCGGCGAGGAGCGCAGGGCGAGCATAGAGGGCGCATGCAGGACGGGTGAGAATAAAGAGTAGCAATAGAGCACACGCAGCAGAGAGAACCTGCAAAGAGAGAAAACAAATATATTGTAGCGAGGAATACATGTTGTGTACAACGGATATGTAACGTTATATATATATATATATATATATATATATATATATATATATATATATATATATATATATATATATATATATATATATATATATATATATATATATATATATATATATATATCTATATATATCTATATATATCTATATATATATATATATCTGGAAACTTCTTAGGCAATACGGGTACACATGAGGTGAGTACAGTGCTCTTGAGCTGGGTACAGTGATCTCAGGTGGGTGTCGTTGGCTCAGCGCTGAATCCACGTTGATCTTGGATATTTGGTCCCACTGGGTAGTCGGGGTATAATGTATATGAAACTGAAAGTATCCTCACCAACATGTTCTTATTTTGTATTGTTTACAATATCGTTGTTGATTGTTGAGTCTTAGAGATTGTCGCAGCAGGAGCAGCTAGTGGCTGACACAGCAGGAAGTGACCGTCTGGGAAGATGCAGTGCGTTCTGCTTCCTCTTATACTTAGGCTTCTCAACCACTCACATCGATCCTCACACCTCAGCTCACTTCACCTGAGCCTGCCTCACCTGAGCCTGCCTCACCTCAGCCCGCCTCACCTCAGCCCGCCTCACCTCAGCCCGCCTCACCTCAGCCTGCCTCACCTCAGCCCGCCTCACCTCAGCCCGCCTCACCTCAGCCCGCCTCACCTCAGCCTGCCTCACCTCAGCCCGCCTCACCTCAGCCTGCCTCACCTCAGCCCGCCTCACCTCAGCCCGCCTTACCTCAGTCTGCCTCACCTAATGCGTCGCATTTGGAACAAAGTCGAACAAACCGTTAAATAAGCGACGTAGCTGAATAAATCAAAGCACCGTAAAATTAACGTTTACTTCGTACCGGCCTCGATAAGTTATGTGAGAGGTTTGACTCTTGTGTGAGGGACTATCTTACACGGGTCTAGGTCGGCCACATTGCTCCCACTTAAGGTGGGTTGACCCCTATGGCAACAACCCCTCCGTCCCCCTACTTCACTGTAAAGTCATTGGAGATGAAAGGATTGCCTCAGACTCCATATATTATTGTTTTTTCAACTATTCCAAATATTACAGATACTGATATGCAAAGTGCGCGTTCTTCGGGCAGGTTTGCAGGCTCCTGTCACCAACATGGCGCAACCTTTTGTGGGTCAACCCAGGCCCTTTCCGACGCTCCGTCTAGTGACAAATACACAAATATCAGTCAGTTCTTTACTTGACCTTCTCATTGCATACCTGCGCAGTCTTGGGGCGTAAGGTCATCCTTCGTCTAATTGGTCCTTCAATTATGAAGACAATTTTGGTGTCACAGAGGCTGCTTTTCCCAGAGGAGCGAAGTAGGCAGGTGGATGGCTGTTGGCTGATTGGTTGGCTGGTTAGTTTGGACGGTTAACCAGCTGTCTGGCGGAATGGATAGCTGGATGGCTGACTGGTTGATTGGCTGGCTGGCAGGCAGACTCTTCGACTGGTTGATTATCTGGTCGTTTGGCTGTCTGCTGCTAACCTAGCTGGATGGTTGGTTACCTAATTGATTGGTCGGCTGGCTGTTTTGGCTGGATGTCTGACTGGTTGGCTGGCTGGCTGGCTGGCTGGCTGGCTGGATGTCTGACTGACTGACTGACTGACTGACTGACTGACTGACTGACTGACTGACTGACTGACTTGCTGGCTGGCTGACTGGTTGGCTGGATGTCTGACTGGCTGGCTGGTTAGCCGGAGGGCCTTCCATGAACTGATCATTGATCACCATAACTTCAGGAGGGCAACGAGACCTGACTCACCCTCTCCCCCACACCCCGACGCAGGTCCCCGGACTGGTAATAATTAATACAATCATAAATATATATGTAAGGCTGTCAAGCACCTTGACGCCCGGATACCTTCAATTTCCTCATCACGCAAGGCACTGGGCTTCTAAGCCACCCTCTTCTTCCACCACCACCCCTCTGCTGCACCTCTTTCATTCTCCCCTCTCTCCTTCCACTTCCTTCACCCCCCTCCCCTCTTCCCTCTCCTTTGCCCCCTCCACCCACTGGCCTACCCCCCCCCCATCCATCCTGTTTCTAAATCCCCCCCCCCTGCCCCCCACCCATGGCGAACGACACGCACGTCCATTGTCCCCAGGTAATTGGTGACAGAGAGGGACAGAAGGGGCTCACTCTGTTCACGAGGTGGACACAAGGACTCTCGTCACGACAAACTTTACTCGACATTGTATTTCCTTGTCACGAATGGAGATTTTGCATGTTGCCTTCTAGCCTTCGTACGTGTGTCCGGGCGGTGACCTGCAGGAACAGCTTCACCTCACATACCAGTCGTCAAACACTGATCTAAATTACAGGACATTTGAACTAGGGATTCCACAGAGATTCACTGCAATACTGGGCGGCTTCAGAGACAGTAGAACAGGTAAGGTCAATATTGGCAGCTACTTGGATGACGAAATTGAAATGAAAAATGGAGTGCCGCAGGGAAGTTGCCCGTCACCCACTCTTTTTTAATATATATATATATATATATATATATATATATATATATATATATATATATATATATATATATATATATATATATATATATATATATATATATATATATATATATATACATATACACCGCTGACCTGCCCCCTCCCCAGCATGGAGTATAGATCTCATACGGTGAAGATGCAACTTACGATACTTTGCCAATCAGGAGAATGAACGTTGTTACTGGTAAAAAAAAAAAAAAAAAAATCGAATTAAACAACTTTAAAAATCGATGGAAAATTAGTACCAAGAAATAAACATTCGAAATAATACTTGTCGGAATAATAAATCCTAAGCCCATTATCCTTGACCAGGCGATTCTATCCAACATACGAGTCAAACAAAATCATGTCCAAGCGCAGTGAAAAGCTCTGTACCTCGGGGGAGGGGGGGCACATTCCTTGCACCACTGCTGCTGCTCATATCGAATGTAAACAAAATTTAGAATTTACAGTTGCGTGTCATCCTATGCAAATGACACACACACATCAGCATGAAACAGGGTACATGACACATGTAAAGCCTACTCATAGAAGAAAAACGATCTTCAGGCCGTTTTGTTCACTATATTTACTTGGTTATGTTCACTAAATGACGTTTAGTGAACATAATCAAGTAAATATAACATCAGCCAGGAAAATGATAGGATGGATTATAAGAACCCTCAAATCCATGCTCATACTATTCAAATCACTGGTGATGTCCCGCAATGAGAGGTGCTCAAATCAGTGTATTTGATTTGATAAATAAGTCAAATACCACTCAGTGTACAGTGGTCCACTGAGTGGTATTCAAATCACTGGTACTGCTCAGTACTCACTTCCCCTTTCAGAGCGGGAGAGATTGCTGAAATAGAGGAGATACAGAGAACATATACGACACGCATAGACACGATAAATCACCCAAACTATTGGGTGACCGTCTCAAAGTTTCCGAAATGTGCTCTCTGGAAAGGTGACGAAAGAAGTATCATATAATATACACAATGGAGATACTTGGAAGGCCAAGTCTTAAATTTATACAGTAAAATAACAGCATACTGGAGGAACAGGGAACACTGTATAAAGATCAGAGCCCCAAGCCCATTAAATATTTTTCCAACAAACATAGGAAATGTTGCCGGAACAAAAGTGGACTTCAAGAAAAATTAGTCAAGCTCTAGCAAGGAGTGCCGGACCAACCGGGCCGGAGTGGATATGTGGGCCTGCGGGACCCCTCTAAGCAACAGCCTATTGAACCAAGTTATTACAAATCAAGCCTGGTTCCCAGGCCGGGATTAGGAAGTAAAAGAACTTCCACAACTCACTTCAAATAAAATCCAGATACCTGACTAATGTCAGACGTGCTAGACAGCTTCACCTTTCATATACCTGACTCATGTCAGATGTATATATAGTAACAGTTATTGTTTAATGCAATATATTACAATAGTTTATATTTAGCAAATTCGATGTGTAAACAACCTTCCGTTCGGGTGTTTTAAGTGGTTGATACACCGAGGGGGGGGGGTGTGTGTGTGTGTGTGTGTGTGTGTGTGTGTGTGTGTGTGTGTGTGTGTGTGTGTGTGTGTGTGTGTGTGTGTGTGTGTGTGTGTGTGTGTGTGTGTGTGTGTGTGTGTGTGTGTGTGTGTGTGTGTGTGTGTGTGTGTGTGTGTGTGTGTGTGTGTGTGTGTGTGTGTGTGTGTGTGTGTGTGTGTGTGTGTGTGTGTGTGTGTGTGTGTGTGTGTGTGTGCGTGTGTGTGTGAGGGGCTGCAGTATACATGAATATTAATGTTGGGGGCCGCCTGCCTCCATATTATATACCGGGCTGTGAGGCCACGCTTTGGGAATTACAACACCGGGCTGTGTATAGTTGCTGACCGAGGGGTCTGTGTGTGTATGTGCTTGGTTGCTAGATGAGGGGATAGAGATAGTTTGGGTGAGGGAAGGAAGGGAGGGAGGGGTCATGTTAGTGACAAATAGACAAAGACAGACAGACACACACACACACACACACACACACACACACACACACACACACACACACACACACACACACACACACACACACACACACACACACACACACACACACACACACAGTTAAGCATCATGAGTATAAATACCACAGCCATGCAGCTCTTGGCATAAGTTACACTCTTATTAAATGCCGTATCGAGCTACCTCGTTGATAATTTCGAATTTGGAAACGAATTACTGGAGAATTTTTTTTTCCTTTCAACGACCTTTTAAGTGCGATACCGAGAGTAATTATAAAAGAAATCTATATCTCGCTGTCAGAAATGTCAAAAGTCAACTGTGTTGAAACATCTTTTATCAGTTTAAAGCAATTTGCACATTCGGAGCAGAAATCCGATTAGCTAAACCAGTAGCTACCGCGACGAATATCAGATTCCTTGATTATTGTCTGATATTTATTGCAACACAACCAGTGACCTTGGCAAGTATTTATCAAGCATTTCCATGTCCACTTTACGAAACCTGTTCATCTTTCCTGCTTCATGGCGGCCTAGTTTGCCTTTATGAAAGTTTGTGAGCTCTCGAAGTGCCACGAGGTTGTCTATAGTCAAAATAATCTTAGGTTGTGAAGTTTCCAGCATCCAAAACTGGCTGGAAATCTTTGGAAACCTCTCGATCTTTGGCAAGATGTTTAGCGACACTGTACCCCACTAAAGGCTAATCAGGAAGGTTGAGACCCGTGGCATTGGGGGAAATGTTCTCAATAAGATCAGAGTTGTGGCTGAGGGATAGGATGCAGGGAGTTAGCCTCAACAGGGATGATGTCGGAGTGAAGAAATGTCACGGGTGGTGTGCCCCGAGGGCTCTGTTTTGGGGCCTTTGTTGTTCATAATATAAATATATCGGCGACCATATGCTGTGGTGAACAGTAATATAATTAAGTTTGCGGATGACACGAATCTCGGCCAAATATTAGACTCTAACGAGAGCTCGGGCGGAAATCCTGAAACACCTCATCGCCTTGCAGAACTGATTTTTTTTTCCATCAAGCCCTGTTATATGGGAGAACACGTGGTCCATGCTTAATGTATACACTTGCCTAAACACGCAAGGTAGAAGTATAGAAATTGCAGAACTGAGCAGACAATTGAAAGATGTCGTTCAACGTTGATAAGTGCAAAATCGTAAACTTGGGAAATGACAGTGACACCATTACCAGATAGATTATGCAAATTTGGTCAAATCAAGTTGCGGAAAATGACTTGGCAAACACGATTAGCCAACACAGCAGTGTAGTAGTGCTCGTAACAAAATCTAACAACCTGATTGACTTTTATAATGGTAAAGTCAGCAATAAATGCATAAACAAATTCTTCTAATTATATTTGACCCAGGTAAAGCCCCCACGGCGGCCAATTTTACCCACATTATTACATGGTGGACATGGAGGCACTCGTGAAACTCCAGTGTAGAATGACCAGACCAGATTCCCGATGTACCGGACCTTCCCTACAAGGAGAGGTTATGAGCCAACATTCTCAGGAGAGGCGGAGAGCGAGGGGGGGGGGGGGAGAGAGAGAAGGTCTTCCAGAGGTTTAGGAGTCTCAACCTGCCATACGTGAGCACGGTCTTGAAACTCTCTCAGACCAGGTCAAAACCTGTGACAATGGCTGTCAATTGGAGACGTTCACAGTCAAGAGAGGATATGGGGGGCTTGACAACCGGGTGGCAGACGGCCGGAATAGGTTGCCGGCCAACATCATTCAAGCAAATGAAT